TTCTTTTTCCTGAATGAAGATTTTGACATTCATCCGCATGTGTAAGCTCAGACTCTTCTCAAGGGCTATAGCTGAACTATGGGGTAGCAAAAATGAGAGCCAAGCCCATCCTGTGCGAATAAATGTGATAATTCTGAACTGATCCCAATTACAGATGGATTGGAAATTCTCAGAGTTGGAAAATACACTTTGTAATACGTAGAAATCAGTATTTCCAGAGCAATGTCCTCTTATCTGTGCTCTGATAAATTCTGCTGAATGTATCTTGCATTTGTTTTAGAGCACAATTAACAACTCCCTCTGCTCTGAGATCCCAAGATCTAACCCAGTAGAAAGCCAGAATTTATAGAGAGATGGGGTGGGGTGGGTAGGGGAAGATAATCACCTATGACCCACTGTATATGCAGGCTGTGGATTTATTCCTCCTAGTTCCACAGCAATCAGCATGTCATTTTTGAAAATTTCAATCTCAGTGTAATGAACCCTGTTCTTGGGGAGAGTGGTTTGCACTCTGGTGTTTTCCTCCCTTTCTCATCAGAAGGAATGCATGGATTTGTGCATGGAGATTATGTAAATTGATTGTGTAAATCCCTGAGACTTTACTCAGTGGAAAAGATGACATTCATTTGTGCTGTTTACCTTCAAATCTGTTATTTTCCTCTAGGTTCTAACTCTAACCTGTAAGATTTATTTTTTTTTAAGTGTGAAGATAACACCCCATTGAAGGGATGTGATAATAAGGCTTTAGGGCTTGTTTTCATCCAGAGTACTAATCCTGTTAGTGCACTGTTTAAAGGTTTGTGGAAAGTTGGTAAATCACATGGGATATGAATCTACAGACTGTGCATTTCATACAGCTCTGGGATGTTGTTCAGTGAACACAGAGATATAAAAGGATGCATGGTCTTTTTAACATTCACGGTGGGAAGTGAGTTGCTTGACTGAGGCCCTCCTGTCAAATAGGAGTCATTGTCGTCACCTTGTAAATCCAAGCGCACAATACTTTTTCTTTTGTGAGACACATATGGTATAAAGCTTTGCATCCTCTCTCGTTTCCACAGAAAAAGACAAGTTTTCACAGCAAAAGTAAGGCTGAAAGTAAATATCAAAAGAGTGGTGGGGTTGAGGGAAATCAAGAAAAAATGAAAGATGATAATGGCTCTCATTGTGCTTTGCTTTTCAGCTGTGAAGTTTGGAAGAATGTCCAAAAAGCAGAGGGATAGCTTGTACGCTGAAGTGCAGAAGCACCAGCAACGACTGCAGGAGCAACGGCAGCAGCAGAGTGGTGAGGCAGAAGCCCTCGCCAGGGTTTACAACAACAGCATCAGCAACGGCTTGAGCAACCTGAGTAACGAAACTGGCAGCACCTACTCAAACGGGCACGTCATTGACCTGCCGAAGTCTGAGGGTTATTATAACGTGGATTCTGCCCAGCCTTCCCCAGACCAGTCTGGGTTAGACATGACTGGAATCAAACAGATAAAGCAGGAACCTATCTATGACCTCACCTCTGTACCAAACTTGTTTACCTATAACTCTTTCAACAATGGGCAATTAGCTTCGGGGATATCCATGACTGAAATAGGTAAGGAAAATTCTTATTCCTCTAGTGTAATGTGTATATAGGTAAGCGCCAGATTACAATACTGCCTTTATTAAAATATTATATAGGCATTCCATACACAGGTACACTATAATTACATGTTCACACATATGCATATGCACACACATGTACAGCAGGTAAAGGAGAGAAAATCAGTCTGGCAGTAATGGGTACAATATTGAGGGAGTTCTGGTTTTACCAAAATCTGCAAATTATGCAGTTTCTTAAACTCAGCAGTTCATGTTCTGTTTATGAAATAGGAGAACCAAAGGAGGTGATGCATCGATCAGAAGCAAGTGATAATTAGTAGCGGGGAGCTTTTTTCAAATGAGCTCATTACTAGCAGGTTTAAATGATCTCTTCAGCCAGCCATCCATATTCTTGTCAACACCCAGAATCCCCATGGCAGCTAATTCTAGGCTATTTATTGTCAAAAAGCACCAGCTCACTACTTCTCATGCGTGGATGTACATGCAGAGCAAATTCACTGAATTCGTGAGGTGCACAAACTCTGAAGGTAGTTGTGTGGATACCCCTGCTCCTCCACTTGAATGCCTAGTAGAACCTGTCCCTTGATATCTTCTTTGAAAAGCAGCAAAGAGACCTCTCTGTGAGATGAGACGTTTTGAAAGGCAACGGCTAACAGTGATTCTTCTCTAAGGAGGATTTCTGTTCATCTAATGCCTCTAGTCGTACCTCTCCAACACAACTGGAAGTACTACTTCTATTATAAAGAAATAACATGAAAGAAAATTGGCTTCCTAATTAGGTACTTCCCACCTCAACAAGTGAAGTATGCTGAGTCAGTTGTGGTTGAGAATATAATCAAAGGGTAACACTTCATTGATGGAATTTAATTAAAAAGAAAGAAGAAGAAGAAAAAAAAAGATATTCAAGAGCACCTGTAACAAATTAATTAATGACACATCACAAAAACCCTCTTTAGTTCTGGTCTGGCCTTGCTGCCTCATGGATGTACACTGAGCTGTGTAAATTTAGGAGTGTACTCAGACCGCCTGAAGGCCCTGGAGATGTGGCATGCACTCAATATATATTGCAGAAAGGGGTGTGTGTAGTAGTTACTATCTGATAAAAAAATGAAAGTGCAGCTAGAATCTGTAGCATATTTTCTACCCATGCATGCTCAGTGCAGGAAGCTGTAGACCAAATTGTGTGCTTTAGTTGTGAATTGCACAGGACAAAGTTATGCTTTTATGCCGCTCTGTTTAGGGGGATGTGTTTTGTTACAACGTTTGGCCACACTGCTGTCCAAAGAAGTCCTACACCCACAGCATAGCAGTACAGAGGATTAGTGAGGAACATCTGCTCCAACTTCCCTCTTGGCTCTTGTGGCCTTATGATTACTCACATGTGGTTTGTGTAAACCTCAATCCTGTAACAGTAGTTCACAGTACTCCAAACCGGCTGAGAGACAATTTAAACAGTCATAAGAGCTATTTCCCTGCAGCACCCTATACCAAAGGGAAATGTTCCCAGGGAGACTCAGAGGAGGTACCAGAAATATGACAAGTCCATGAATTGGGGCTTGTGCTCAGTTACTGAAGTGAGCCCAAAGAGAATACAGCCACAAGACTATATCCTTAGTGGCTAAAGGATCCCACTTAAGTCAAGGGGATCTTTTGACTCATGGAGATTTAGAGAATCGTTTAACTTTCATCTCTTGCTGGATCGCACAGAAATAATGCATCATTCTTAAATTTTCACCTTTTTTTTTTTCTCTTCAAGCCCTAAAGCAGCCAGCCCTAAACCCACCCCACATTTCCCAGTCTTTCATCCTCTGTGTTATTTGCCAGTGTTCCCCTTCTGGAGCACACAAAGCAGGGAAAACCCCAGCACAGGGAGCAGGACACACCAAATGACCTCTCTTTGATCTGATAGCAAAGTTCAGGTGCTGGGATTTACCTCTCTTCCTTTTGAAATTGGAAAGAGGGCTCCTAAATTGCTAGGATTTTACCCATGTACTGCTGTATGTCTTTTGTGGCCCCTAGAGCAGAGAGGTAAGGGTGTTAGTGAGAGATAATGTAATATAACGGATCAGCTGACACAACTGAAAAAAAATGGAAGAGATACACCATAAAATATTGAGATTAGTGCACAGGTGAATGATATTTTCAGTGTTTAAAAACAAACAGAAAATGCTTTTTAATGCTGCAGTGGATTGTTGGACCATCCGTAAAGCTGCTGTCTTGCAGTCAAAGCAGGAAAACTCTAAGCACTGGGATGCATTAATTTCATATTACAGTGTGCTTAAATTTCACCGCAGCACTGTATCTTGCTCACTCCAATGAGATTTAGGACTAAGCTCAACTCACGTTAAATCAAAGTTACTGTCTTAACTGTTAGATGAAATCATAGAGAGTATACAGGAGATGGAAAAGCTATACTGCATTGATCCTTGTGCCTGATAGAAATTGCCATTGCTTTAAGTATTCCAGGTCATGTTAGTTCTTTTCCTCAATGAAGACTTTCTACCAGATTCAAATTTCCAATCTTAGTCTTCTTCTGGTCTTTATATACTTCAAATACATGTACTTTTTTAAGCACAACCTCACATGCCACTTGCCTGATCTTGAGTGCAATCCTTTTAATTTTTTCCTCATAAATGAATGTGTGAGACTCCTTCCATTCTTGAGCTGTAAGCTATCCAAGGGACAGACTTCTTCACAGGCAGCACAGAATCAAAGTAGTCTTTGCAGCTTCTGCATCACATATGCCAACCAATATCCAGTTCATTTATTCCTTCAGTGTTATTGCTTTGCTTGTTTCTCACTCACTTCTCTCCTGAATAGGGCATTTTTTATTAAGATACCCCTGACATTTCTAAGTTTGAATCTCATTTTCTTTTTCTTATTTGTCTAACCTTTTCAATCTGTTATGCTATGTCTCAGTCTTCATTGATGCTTTGTGACTTCTTTCAATTTAGAACTATCTCTTCATTTAATTAGCATGCTGTGAACCCTCTCAGATTATTAATGAAAATGTTAAATGCTTGTAAAACAAGTTCTAACAATGGTCCCTGCTGCACCTGACTAAACAACTTGCTGCAATTGCATAAATTACTTTAGTATTTACTTTTTGCTTGCTATTCCACAGTAAGGTTCTCTGACAAATCTGAATAACAAGTCTTCATTTCCCTGTCAGTTTGATTCAGTTATAAAAATAATATTTTCTAAAATACTCTGTGACATAATTTATACATCAGTTGCATTCTTTTCTTCACATATTAATTTTCTAATTCCTCCAATAAGGAATCAAAATGGTCAGCCTTACTTTGATCTTTAACAGTCACATGCTTTAATTTGAATGTGAAAGTGCTCTTTTTCCTGAACATACCTTCACCTACAGTAGACTTTGTAGTAGAAATGGAAATTTTTCAACTTAGCAGTTTTGAAATTAAAAATTTTTACACAGCAAATGTTTCAACACATAGTATTAGAATTGCACAGAAAGCAAAATATAGCTTATCCTACATTGCATGCTTACTGGTATCTCTAAATACCTTACCAGGAAACAGGTGCAGGAGAAAGAGGTGCTGATAAATCAAGTTATATAGGGCTTCTTCACACGTATTTAGTACTAGCATATTCCTCCAAATGAGTTGAATAGTCCAGGGTGTAACTGCACATTATCTGATCACTATGAGAAGCAGGATAGGTAATTTCTCCTATGGAAGAGAGGGCTAAGTGTAAGAAAGATACAGGCACAAATTTCTCATGTAACTGCCAGAGCTTTGCTGGAGAAAAGTTGGATAAAATCAGGTATTTCCCCATTAGGCAGAACTGTGCCTTAGGCTCAGCCCTGGTCAGTATTCCAGTTCCCGTTACAAGAAAAACCTCAAAACATAAAGTAATCAGTTCAAAGCTCATAAATAAGCATATAGCAGCAGAGTCTCAGCATGGCATCAGCTGCATTTCCAGACCAGCTCCTTTTTCTTTTAAGGCAGGTATTTTTGTCCTTAACTCAAGGCAGCTTATTGGAGACTTGATCTGGATTTCTAGCCAGGTGGGCAGAGCACAAAGTAGGTGAGATACAGCAACCAGATGCATTGGGCAGGCTCTTTCTCTACCTGTCCTGCTGTCCACGGGTGGCATGACCCAGGAGTGTCCCGCCAGCCAGCGATGCTGTCAGCACAGGAGACACCCATGGCCTGAGGGTGCATGCTGCCAGGGACCCCATGGCATGGTCCTGTTTCTCCCTCACCACCATGCTAATCTGCACATGTGGGAAGGCAGAAATTCCTCATGCTGTGGTGGCAGATCAAACTGTGGGGTGAAATCTGCTCGTCGTGTCAAACATGAGAATTTTGTCATTTGCAGAACAGCTTTCTCCTCGCAGAGGTCAGTTGGTGCATGGGAAATCCTACAGGGTAAAGGGAGCTCCATTTCCTGACCCTGGTAGCTCCATAGACAGCAATGCCTGCTCCCAAGAGTGATTTTAAATTAGCAGGTATTAAAGGCTTATTTTTAGACTTGGTCAAATTAAAGACCATCTTGTTTAAATATATGTGCATAATATTATCTGTCACTGAGCTGAGCACTGCATTTTCCTCACAAAATATGTGGCTTGGATCTTGGTCTGTAAAAGTTAATGGAAAGGTTTCCCTGCCTTGACTGCAATTGATATTACCAGCCTATGATTTCTTAAAGATGAGAAAAAATTATTAGTGAACATTGTTGTGGAGAAAACAGATTGGTTAACTGTTCGCTCCACGTCAAAATGAAGAGTGCCCCATAGCTGTGTGTATTTAGGTAGTGAGGCACCACTACAGCGTACAGGAGATCACATAGCTCAGCCCCTATAATTACAGAAAAAAGTGTTGTTTATGTATATTTGCATGGCATTTCTTCAATATCAGCACTATTTGAAGGCACCCAATGGCTTGGAGAGCTTACATTTCTGCCAAAATTGAAGTCAAATAGTAAGTAAGGTTGGCAGGCTCAGACTTGATCTTCCCTTTCCGC